GTTGCTTTCTTCATGTTTGGATGTTTAGGATGTGATAAACTCCAGTCACATAAACATCTGTTGACTTCTGAAGAAAACATCAGGACTAGAAAACAAAGAAAAAAGTCTGTCTGCAGATGCAGTGCTGTGTAATAGTGAGTGTGATCAGCATGAGTATGATGTGGCTGCTAATCTGAATTTCTTCTTTCATGTAATATAAAATGAGATTGACCACAGTTATGACTGATGGCAGTTTTTTCTGTACAATGTGAGAATGGCCCATCACGTACACACCACCTGACAGGCAGGCCATAGTGCTTTGTTTTATATAGTGGTGAGCGGCTATGCTGTCTCTATTCCTGTTCACCTCATACACCTCAAACTGTCAGTACAGCTCTGCACTAACTCAGTGAAAGCTTCTGCTTCTGAAAGTGAAAAAGCCCCGAAAACTCATACTTTTACAGAGGGACTATCGAGAGCGTCCTGAGCAGCTGCATCACTGTCTGATCTGATGATAACTGCACTGTATCGGATCGCAACACCCTACAACAGATAGTGAGAACAGATGAGAACATCACTGGAGCCTCTCTTTCCTCCATCACAGACACTTATCGCACCAGCTACATCCGCAAAGCCACAAGTATTTTGGAGAAACCCTCACACACACTCTTTGCCCTGCTGCCTTCTGACAAGAGGTGCCGGAGCATTTGGGCCCTCACTGTCAGACTGACAAACAGTTTCTTCCCCCAGGCTGTTAGACTCCTGAACACTCAGTGACTGGACTGACACACACACACCCATACCCTCATACACGTCACTACCAAGCACTTATCTGCACAATTTCATACACACACAGACAGCACACCTTCATACACCAAGTTACTTTTTGCACAATGCTCAGTCATTTCTATTGCACAGTTGTGTCTGCACTGTCTTGTGTCGGTAACGTTCTGTTCTGTCTGGTGTTGCACTGTCTTTGTTTTGTTTTTGCATTTTTTGCACATTGCACTTTATGCAGTCCTGCGTTGATTGTGTGTTACATGTCATATGTAGCACCAGGGTCTTGGAGGAAGGTTGTCTCGTTTCACTGTGTACTGTACCACTGCACATGATTGGAATGACAATAAAATCCAGGCCAGCCGAGAGATATAATCTCTCCAGCATGTCCTGGGTCTGCCCAGGGGCCTCCTCCCAGTGGGACATGCCCGGAAAACCTCACCCAGGAGGTGCCCAGGAGGCATCCTTGTCAGATGCCCGAACCACCTCAACTGGCTCCTTTCGATGTGGAGCAACAGCGGCTCTACTCCGAGCCCCTTCTGAATGGCCGAACTTCTCACCCTATCTCTAAGGGAGAGGCCAGCCACCCTTCGGAGGAAGCTCATTTCTGCCGCTTATATTCGCGATCTTGTTCTTTCGGTCACTACCCACAGCTCATGGCCATAGGTGAGAGTAGGGACGTAGATTCACCGGTAAATTGAGAGCTTCGCTTTTACACTCAGCTC